CTTGGCCCCGGTCTTCAGTAAGGTCAGTGCTACGTCCCTTCCACCACATAGACCATATGACTGTGCAATTGAGTTGTTACCTGGAGCACCGTTACCCAGCAGCCGTTTATATAACATCTCCAAACCAGAACGAGAGACAATGGAGAGGTATATTAACGAGTCTTTAGCTGCTGGAATTATTCGCCCGTCCTCTTCTCCTTTGGGTGCTGGTTTCTTTTTTGTTGACAAGAAGGATGGTTCATTAAGACCATGCATTGACTACAGAGGGTTGAACCAAATCACTATAAAGAATAAGTACCCTTTACCTCTCCTAGCCTCAGCTTTTGAACCTGTTCAGGGGGCAACAGTCTTCACCAAACTGGATCTGAGAAACGCATATCATCTCCTCAGAATCAGAGAAGGAGATGAATGGAAGACTGCTTTCAAGACACCATTAGGTCAGTTCGAGTACCTGGTGATGCCTTTTGGTTTAACAAACGCCCCCGCCTGCTTTCAAGCACTAGTGAATGATGTTCTCAGAGACTTTTTAAATGTGTTTGTCTTTGTCTATATAGACGACATACTCATTTATTCACGGAACTTAACTGAACACAAGAAACATGTCCGCCTGGTGTTACAGAGGCTACTGGAGAACAAGTTATTCGTCAAGGCAGAAAAATGTGAGTTCCACCAACCATCAGTGACCTTTTTGGGGTTTGTGCTCGAGGGCGGGCAGGTTAAGCCTGCTGAGGACAAGATAAAGGCGGTATTGGACTGGCCGATTCCTGAAACTCGAAAACAGCTTCAAAGGTTTTTGGGGTTCGCCAATTTTTACCGTCGTTTCATTAGAAATTATAGCCAGACGGCTCAACCTCTGACCTCTTTAACTTCGGTTAAGAGGAATTTTCAATGGACTCCCGAAGCTCAGTCTGCTTTTGACAAACTGAAATCTTTGTTTTCCAGAGCACCGGTGTTAATTCAGCCTGACCCTTCTAAACAGTTCATCCTGGAGGTCGATGCTTCGGATTCTGCCGTTGGAGCCGTCCTTTCCCAGAGACTCGACTCAGATCAAAAGATTCATCCATGTGCTTTTTTCTCTCGCAGACTGTCATCAGCAGAACAGAACTACGGCGTTGGAGATCGAGAACTATTAGCCATCAAATTGGCGTTGGAGGAGTGGAGACACTGGCTAGAGGGAGCTGAGCACCCGGTTCTAGTCTGGACTGATCACAAGAACCTTGCTAGCATCCAGTCTGCCAAACAGGCCAACCCTCGTCAATCCAGGTGGTCCATTTTCTTCTCCAGATTTAATCTCGTTATCTCCTACAGACCCGGATCAAAGAATGTGAAACCAGACTCCCTCTCGCGCCTATACTCCGTCGATCAACCCGAGACACCAGAGCCAGTCCTCCCGGCCTCTTGTACTGTGGGAGTCGTGAACTGGGAGATATCCGATCTCATTAACTCCGCCCTGGCCACGGAACCCGACCCAGGTAACGGTCCGGCTAACAGAACTTATGTTCCGTCTTCCGTCAGGTCCAGGCTCATTCAATGGATGCACACTGCCAAATTCTCGGCCCACCCTGGAGTCAGTAGAACCATAGCTCTCATCACCAGACGCTTCTGGTGGCCCACTCTCCACAGGGACGTAAAGGAATATGTGCTGGCCTGCCCCATTTGTGCTAGGAACAAGGCCTCGCATCAGCCACCCTCTGGTCTGCTACAACCTCTTCCGATCCCTTCACGTCCATGGTCCCACATTGCCATAGATTTCGTCACTGGTCTCCCCGTCTCTCGAGGTATGTCCACAATACTCACCATCGTTGACCGTTTTTCCAAGTCCTGTCATTTAGTCCCTCTCAGGAAGCTCCCCTCGGCGTTCCAGACTGCTCAGCTTCTCGTGAAACACGTCTTCAGATTACATGGCATTCCCCAGGAAATCCTATCAGACCGTGGTCCTCAATTTATCTCTCAAGTTTGGAAAGCCTTCTGCTCAGCTCTGGGCTGTAAGTCTGCTTTAACTTCAGGTTATCATCCACAATCCAACGGTCAGACCGAGCGCATGAATCAGCACCTTGAATCCACCCTCCGCTGCCTAACCTCCAACAACCCCACCGACTGGAGCCAATACCTTCCGTGGATCGAATACGCCCATAATTCACAAAAGTCAGCTTCCACCGGCCAGTCACCATTTCAGGTCAGTCATGGTTTCCAACCTCCACTTTTCCCTGCAGACGAGAAAGAAATAGCGGTCAAGACCATCAACCAACACATTCGTCGTTGTCAGAGAATTTGGAAGGAAACCATCACCACCCTCAAAAGATCATCCGAGACCAATAAACGCTTCGCTGACTCCAAAAGACGTCCCGCCCCCGAGTACGCCATCGGACAAGAGGTTTGGCTATCTACCCGAGACATCCCCCTCAAGGGGATGTCTCGGAAACTTTCTCCCAGATTCATCGGTCCATTCAAGGTTTCCCAGGTCATCAGTCCCTCTGCAGTCCGCCTCCAGCTACCTCCGAGTCTACGCATCCACCCCACCTTCCATGTCTCTCAGGTTAAGCCCGTGTTTTCTAGTCCCTTGTGCCCGCCATCCGACTCCCCACCACCCACCCTGGAAGTCAATGGCCACCCTGCGTTTACCGTCCGTCGCATTGTGGACTCCCGTCGGCGAGGTCGCGGCTGGCAGTACCTCATCGACTGGGAGGGCTACGGACCTGAAGACCGTCAGTGGGTTCCTGGCTCATACATCCTCGATCCTTCCTTGATCGAGGAGTACGAGCGTTCCTGTCCATCTACTTCCTCCGGACCGCCAAGGGGCGGTCGTTGAGGGGGGGGTACTGTTGGAAGCTGGAGAAGTACCTCCTTTCTCCAGCAGAGTCCGCCGTGGATCCTCCTGAGCAGAGCCTCCTGCACAGCTGCTGCTCATTACCATCATCAAGAGGATCCACTACTTAAGCTGCCTTCAGACCTTGCCTCAACGCCGCAGTGTTGAGCCAGTTGGTTAGAACCTAAACCTAGAACCTCTGAGAACTTAGTTTGCTCTGAGTCCTGACTGGATCCTAATCTTGTCTCTGTCTTTCCAGGAAAACCTGATCTTCCCTTGCGAAGCTCAGGAAGAGCTTAACCTGCCGAGCCTGCCCTCTGAGCCAAACCTGAAGATTACCTCTGGATTCACATGCAGCTCTGGACCAAGAGCTGGAAACCCAAAGTCAAGGTCTGCTACCTTCCTAGAAGCAAGACGCTGAAGCAGCTAACGGACTCTGCTAACCAGACTCTCTCCAGTTCCAACAACCTTCCTCTCCAAGTGCTATTCAAGGACCCTCAAGGTACAAACCAGAAACTATCTAAGGACAGTCCTCTAAGAACCCAACTAACTAAACTGTCTTCCTCACAGACTCCGGTGAACCCGTTTTTCCCAGGACCAGAACCTGAACACATTATCTCAGAAAATTGTATTCAATAAACTCTGTGAACTTTTCAACTGTTTCCTGCCTCGTGGTGTTCTGCATAATTGGGTCACATTCGTGTACCGATCATGACATAAATTGCCTTGTCAACAGCATTGTCCACCTAAAACATGAATCTCTTGCTCCTCCAGAATATTCTTTGGGTGACTTTCCTCATGTTTGCAATCTATTTAAAACAGAGCATATTTGGGTTCATAGAAAACATAACACCTTTAAGACATAATTCAACTTTAGCCTACTGTACAGGTATGCAATAATTTGCTAATCACCCCTTTGAATACAGTTTGTAGTTAGAGTTTGTAGAATTGATGTTAAATATGAACAATTTTTCTTTTTCACATAGTAGAAAGAACAACAGTCCAATCAACACAAATCCACAGACTCCAATCAAAGCGACGGCTGCTCATCCTCATGATATCACTAGATGGTTCAGTTTCTGTGGAATTATAAGGACATCCATGCTACTGGGTTAATACTGTATTATGTGGAGCCCCCATTTGATACGACATAAGAGAGTCAGTAGACCAGTAATTCTGCACAGCCTCGCTGTTGTTCTGTCTCAACTAAGTCCAAGCCATCTGTTACAAACAAGGCTCAAATCTGGAGCCGAGTCAGACATATAGGTTCCCACTGCAATAGGCTGTTAAACTGACTCAGACTGCTCCGTAAAGCCACAGGGATATGAGTGCGAACAGGTGCAGCTCTTTCCAACATACAGCCATAACCTTTGGAAAATAAATTGCCTGCTGACTGCCAACACACTCTTCAGTGTTGGAGAGGAGATGTAGAGATAGTTTATAATTACTATGTGCATGCAGACTCGTGCATGCACACACTTTTGTGCAACATTAAGACAGTTTGAGTCATGAGATGATCACAGCTTTCTTGAATCACCCCACTCTGCTCTGACAGACCACTTTACGGATGAAGTCTCGCTTAAGTGTCCATCATTTTCACTCACTTCTGCGCTTTTTAAGACTCCTAATGCTCCCATTTAGCACAGCAGTAGGAGTCGTTGAAAAATACCCGTTGGTGAAAGACCAGTCTTGGAGGTGGGGGGTAGGGGTCTTGGGTAGTCACATCTGAGAGATCATGAGTGACATGGGGGGGGTTAGGCGTGGGCTTGGAGAACGGTGGTGGCTTCATGCGCCCAAAGGCAAAGAAAAATGGATTATGCAACGTATATTATTCACTTATTCCCCCGCCTTATTTCCATATCCTTTTGTTGTCAGAGCTTGATGGGACCCGACGCTGCACCAGGACACCTGGCACCTCCATGCCAAGAAAGTCCTGTCTGATCTGCTGCCACTTTAAAGTATCTGCACATGCATATTCACAGACAGTAGTGAAAAGACACAAGAAGGTAAAATTCTGATAATTGTTCAGGTGAGGCACATAGCTCCCACGTGGCATAGTTTCACACACTGAAAAAGTCTTGTTTATTCATAGATGTCATCCTAACCGTAGAAGATTAATGCTGATTACAAGCTCATGATGAGAGGATCATGGGCTTCAGCATGCACAAATCTGAAGAAAAAGTTAATCTCTTACCTTCCTCAGCTGAATTGGGCTGGAAGAAAAGGCAGAGAGACAGAAAGACACTCCACATCTCCAGTTTAGAATGACACTGACAGACAGAGAGGAAGGGAGAGCAGCATGAAAAAGAGAGAGGCAGAGGGAGATGGAGTGGGTGACAGGGAGGGAGGAGGAGGGGGAGGAGTCTGCTTGATCCTTTTTCTCTGAGAGAAAAAAGGAGGGAGAAAAGATGGAGGGAGGGTGGTGTTAGTGGATAAATGGATGAAGGAGGGAGCAAAGAAAATATTTACAGAGCAGCAAAACATTGCTGTTGCAGAGCAAGACGGGAGGAGGAGGAGATGAAGACATCAGAAACAGAGAGAGGAGAAGAGAAAAAGTTATTTCCCCTGTCTGCCAGACTGGAAAGGATGAATACGAGTTTGTCCGGTTTTTAGGAAGCCGCTGTCATGACATGTTTAACATCCATTTCAGGGCTCCTACAATGCCACCCGGAAAGCATCCCTCACACATCTGGACTATGTGCAAACAGCTATGGCATGTGGGAGTTCAAAACTTCCTTTATTTATCTGTCTTTTTTTATTATTTCAACTTTGTAGGGAAAAAATAAAAAAATATCAGAAGCAATTTTGATACTTTCCATGTACTTTTTGTAGTTCTCTCCTCCAAACAGCCTCCTCTGTTTATGCCTCTCAGACACACTCCTAACCTCTCAAGACAGATCACCCAGACTGTATGCATTAAAACATCCACATACACACCATAATAAACATGCTGGTGCCCCTCACTGGACAGCCTGCAGAATTGCAGCGTGTTGATGGGTTTTCATGCTCCAGTTCACTGTGATCCGTCAGACCACCGTGGCCTCTTACTTTGAAGATGCAGCTCGTTGGTTTGACACAGTTAGATGGCCCAATTCCCAGCAAGCCAGGGGGGTCTGAACCCAAGCTATATGATCCAGCGGGCTGCAGCTCTGAGGGCAAGATGGGTGGGAAAAATATCAGAACAGCTGTAAAAGCAAAAAAGTCTGTGATTATATTTCCTTTTCATTTTTAAAGGTGCCATAAGATTAATAAATTAATTACAAATGTTATTGAATCAAACTTCGGTCTGCACATTGGGCATGGATCTTCCAGTCAGACCCAAGACTGGAAGTTTTTCAGCTTAGAGTTTGCATGTTCTTCATGTGTATCCATCCATGGGTTCTGTCCAGGCAACCTGGATCCTTCCCACAGTCTAAAAACATGATCCTTTATTGACGGTTGAAGCTAATTAGCCTTACACCAGTTGTGTATAATACAAACCTTGGTTTATACATTTGCTTCTGATTAAAATGATACCATAAAATGCGTTTTAATATAATTCTGTTGTTGAGAGCGTGAACTAAACATGAGACTGTATAGAATTTGGTTGATAAAATCAGTAAAATGTCTTAACCTGAGTTACGTCGTATTTCAAAAAATAAATTCAGGACATTTATTTCTTTTACAAATGATATATAAAAATGGACCAAAGCTGTTTCAAATTTTTAGTTTCAAGCACTTTTGCTTCACTCAGTAAAATTAGTAATTTAAACAGGATTGTAGAAAAAAAATTACTGAATTTATTTCTAAAACATGATATAAAAATTATCTATGAAATAAGGAGACAAAAACTCCTAAGAATATATAGTAAAATGTAAGTTTTCAATATTTAGCTGAATTTAAAACACCAGTGACAAATAAAGCAATGGTTGTTAAGAATTTTTTTAAATACTTCTCTAACACTTACCTGTTATTATAAAGAAGCAGTTTAGCAGTTAATAGGAAAATGCAGAAAAGAAGCTGCTATATTTTTGATCAATTCAAAAACATTTTTATAATGAAAATTCGATAATTTTCCATAGACACATGATAGATTAATTTGTAACATTGTTAAATCTCTAACACTGTTTTTTTTTCAGTTGCAAAGAAAGGCTTAGTAGCTCCTGGGACTTTGTATTGAGTCAACTTTGCACAAATTATATTAGTTTGAAATGCTAAGATAAATAAAATACCAACGCTTGTTTAAAAACATGTTTTGACTACATAGTAAGTTTTGTCTAAGCAAAAAAAAACATTGATAAATAGTTAACAAATGATAATGGCATTTTTTGTGTTGTTTCCTAGATGCCCAGTGATGCTAATCTGCTTCATATCTAACATTACACTAATTATAGGTGCAATGTTGAAATCAATATCCTCTATTTAATCTAATATGTGCTTTACAGCAAACATACAAAAAATTTAAAAAATGTGCAACTGGGTATAATTTAGGGCTTTATTGTTGAAATGATTAACCCGCAATTTTGCTATACTTCAAACTAATTAAGCACTTTATATCATTTCCTCTAAAAAAAAAACTGTAATGATCTTGTCTGCAGGTCAAATGTTAAACAAGTCTTACATTTGGTGCTTTTAGTCCTCATCTGCTGCTTTTTTTCATATCTAATTCTTTGTGTCCAATTTATTTTATACTCACATTTATGTGTTTCATATTATTTTATATTAATTTAGTACAACTAGCTTGATCAACTAGCTTGATTGTTGCAGTTCCAGTGAGACATTTGCACTTATCCTATACATGTATAACGGAATGTTAAAATCTTGGAACCTCACTTGAAAAAAAAAAGACATTTTATGACAGTAAGAAATGGAAATGGAGACAGCCCCAGTGTGGAGCCATGAATACTAGACGGTCCTAATAAAGTTTTACAGAGCAGCAGTTACATTAAATATTTTATGACAGCTAAATACTGCAGCAGCTGGGGCTATACACAGAAAAAAACACACACACACGAGTATACTCATTAGGGAAGTCACACATTCCTTTTACACATGAAGGTCTGTGCTCACCTGGCAGTGACACTTACTGGCTTTATTTGCACAAATATTGTATTAAAAGAGCAAAATATACAAATTACTCAAGTGAATATTGTGGACGACAAAAGCAGGATCAGGGCATTGTCTACAGATTGTGCAGAGTGCAAAAAAAAAAAAAAAAAAAGACTAAAAGCAAATCAGAATGAATGTAACAAATATAGTAAACATTTTAGAAATAAAACCACAAACAAACTAAATAAATATCTCTTTAGAAATGACTGTGACAGCTGAAGTGCAAACTGCAAAGCAGAAACAAGAAAAGTGCGTCTTCACCAAGTTTATGCACACCCACATGGAAATGCAGCTCTACAAACATCGACCTGGTTTCAAGCAAAGACTGAAGCAGCTGATCATGATGCAGGAACTTGAGTCTACAGTATATATGCATGTATAATCTCACATAATCAGAATACACATTTTGTACGTTAAAAACACTGTAATAAATACAATCCACTTAGTGTCTCTATCCAACAGCATAATCTCGCGAGGTTAATGTTTAACAGGATGTAATGTACATTAAGTTAGGAGTAGGCAGGACTCGCTTTTTATGCACGGCACAGATGAGAACATATTATTTCAAACTGACAAAACATAATTTTATAGATTTCTAAAGCGTGTGATCCAGTAGTTTCTGTAGATAGAATTTCAAGTACAATAAAACCCTAAAATATTTACAAAATATTACAACCAGAGTTACTTTAATTTAACTTTGTGTGCATGATGTAAACAACTAGATTATGGCTTCTATTTTTTTTTCTTGTCATCGTTCATGTTGTAAAATCCTTAACCTGAAGAGGTTTTTTTTTTTTGCTTAAATAAAAAGAAAGCCTTATATTGAATAAAAGCACCCTGCACATAGGTTCTTACATTGCTTTATCGGCACAAATTCAGAAAAAAGCTAAATTTAAAACCTCATAAATAAAGGAAAAGCCTGTCATGAGGTATCACCAACAGTTGGGATAAATCCGTTCTTTATGTGCTTAAAAATATGTCCTCTGTGTATAATAAGGGACAACCTTTTATGCTCAAAGTGGGTCTTCTTGCAGTGGCTCCTTTGTGGTCTCCTGTGCTTCCCCTGCCCTGCAAAAATAGTATTTTATTGACTCCTGTGGAGACCGAAATGCCTTTGTCTCACTAACTTTAGATTCTTGACCTCAATATATTAACCCCCTTAAGCCTGTAACCTTTGAATGCTGAAGGCAGCTGAAAATTTTAACATACAATGATCCTTTTATGTGGCACAATTAATCAAGTTTGGTCAGGATTAAAATTGTTTTTCTTTATATTTAATACTATATTATATGGGCAAAACACTGTATAAAAAAATTAAAAATTGTAACATTTGGACCTATAAACTATTTTTTAGCGGCTTCATTCTTACAGAAAGAAGCTGCAGTCCGTGAATCCTCAATTTCAGTTATTGTTTCTCTACAGGTAGATCCACCATGGGGACTTTTTCTGTGGGGGACAAAGGTGCTGGATCCTGGGTCTCGGGTTGGCTGATGGACACAGCATCAGGGACCGTGGAATCGACAGGTTTGGCGGCGAATCCCTGCTCAATTTCATCAAAGGTCCGTCCTTTTGTCTCAGGGACTCGCAGGTAAGTGAAGATGAAGAAAAGGATGAGGAGGACCATAAAGATGAGGAAGACGTACGGGCCACAGATTTCCTGAAAGAAGGTTATTTTTCATGAGGTGAACTGGAAGTTGTGTGTTAAACTACAGCATCTTGCCAAAGTATTTAAATTAACTTTTACACTTTTTATGTGTCATGAGCTACTATTTGATTCATGTATTTCTGGTAGTGTAAGGAAATATACCTCCAGTTTAGGGAATCCCAGCCCCACCAAAAAGTTGGCGGTCCAGTTAGAACAACCAGCGACAGCCATGGCAGCAGGTCGAGGCCCCTGAGAGAAGAGCTCAGCTACAATGAACCAGGGGATGGGACCCGGACCCATTTCAAAGCTGGCGACAAACCCGAACACGGCCACCATAGCCAGATAACTCAGATTCTCGTTTTTGTTCTGCATGGGAAAAGGATTAAGACAGCTTAGAATAAAAGAACAACGTGGAAGCAGCTGAAAAACTCACTGCATGAATCTAGCTCACCACTAAAGAGAGAGAGATGGTCATAAGAAGGGCAGTGATGGCCATCCCTGCCAGTCCGATGAGATGCAGAGTCCTTCTTCCTGCTCGCTCAACGAGGAACAGCTGAAGAACAGAAAGCAAGGCTGATCAGTT